AGTTGAGAAACAGAAACTGACCAGCATCCCACTACTGGGATATTTACATTAATGTTGTCTACATAATGAATTTGTTCTTACCTTTGATACTGTGTTTTTGACTATGCCATATTAAACAAAGAACACAAACCACCACATCAGAACAGGAAGGTTAATGAAACCTGTATGTGAAAGTCCACCCACTATCCTAAAACCTATTTATTTATAGACAAAAGAAAAAAAAACTTGTGACTGTGTTTGCACTTTGCTGTCTCAAGTGCCTAGTTAACTGCTCCTCCAGATCTGTGTTTCTGGCTACAGCAGACCAGTCCTCAGGTTGCATCCCAGTGCATCGACCATGGCTACCTCTGCAGACCCGAGACAGACCCAGACCTCACAGTTTTAGTCTCTCATGAAGTAATGGCTGTAAGTACTGACCACAAAACACTTACTCAGCACCAAAGCATTTAAGACAAAATAGATCTTTGAACAATAAGCTGGTCATTTTGGAAACTTGCCTTTCCTTCTGTGTGACTTACACTGCTGCAGAGATAAGGCCCATCTTCATCCACCCTCTTCTGCAATCTCTGCCCTGGTATTGAAGTATTTCTTCCACCAGTCCCTGCCAACTTTATCCTCCTATGATTTTTAGTTTACAGCCTGACAAAGCAGCTGCATCCCTCAGAACTGGAGCTATCATTCCTGTAATTACCACCTCATGGGTTTAGTCACATACAGCTGACACAGGGGAACCACTGAATTACCTTTTATTCCTTCATCAGCTAGCTCCCTATTAGGTTAGATCAATACATCTGTACAGGAAAGTGATACAAAGAAGTACAACCCACCATATAGAAACTTCCTCTCCCCCACCTGGCCACATACAGTGCTCATGAAATTATTACAACTTGGTATTCTTCAGCTATTACTCAACAGTGGCTACACTGGCAAAAATCAATTCCTCCTTCACAATAAAATATTTTACTAAGCAATAAAAGGGCCAAGTCCTTTCAGACAATTCAGTAAAGAAGACTTTAGCCTCCAGTTTCTGTTGTACTAAGCACAATGCAAAATAAAGATCAATGTGACAAAAGAAGAGCTCATACAAGTAAGCCAATCTTCTGTACACTACTAAGCCACATTAAAAAGCCTTTTAATCCCTTGTATCTGACAATGCCTGCTGGTTTGAGCCCCAGAGAGTTAATTCATTCAGACTCTGCCAGTGAAATCTTTATAAAGCCAAACATGGCCACAGGAATTTCACCTCGTCCAAGTTTTTACCCCAATTCAGTGAGCTGCCCAAGTCCTGTGGATCACCTCTGCACTGAAATAAATGGGTGTGAACACATTCTCCTTGAAAGAGATGTGCAGAAGATTTAGGAAGGAAATACCCACCCCAAACATCACTGGGTACAAGTCTCCTCCTCAACCACAGAGCTGCATGTACTGGCAGTTTAAAGCATGTTAAAAAAGCTTGCTCAGGTTACCAGCCCAAAAGAATCCACCTCCAAGGCTGCCTTTTAGAATGAGACTGCATATTCATGGGAAACACAGACTAAGAGGGAATCCACTAGGCCAGGTGTACCGAGGCAGCAATCCTAGTCTGTACGATGAATCTAACAGGGACCTGCTCCAGGAAAAGCCACTTACATGGTAAAAATTACTAATGAAGGTGGTATTTTCTACATTATTATTTCAAAAAACAAAAGCCAAGTCACTATTCCCCAAACATTTAATATGAAGAAAAACTAAACACCCAGGGCTACTATGGGAGGACAATGGCATTTGGCAAGCCTTCCTTGGACACTGTCCACATGCAACACCTACTACAGCACAAAAATTACCCGTTTTCCCCCTGGCTAATACCAAGGCAGATAAGGACTGGATCAGTCTTGTAGATGGGTTATAAGAGCTAGAAAAAAAAAATTGCTTTATACTGTAGCAGTTACTAAGAGCTTTGGTCAGGAACTGCCAGGGTTAAGGCCCAGCTGGGTTTCTGTGGAGGGAGACTGGTGGAGGAGGCACTGCAGGACCTGTCCAAACCAAGGATCTCTCCCCTTTGTCCTTGGAGAATGGCACAAATCACACGGAGCATCATGGCAGGCAGCAGCATCTAAAAATGGAAAAGATTATTAGGTCATGTAACACCTCTTCTAGCCAGGGATGAGACCTACGTTTTCTAAAATGAAATCTATCAAACCCTAATTAAATATAGTCAATCCTCATTAAAAATAAACTAGGTTAATATTTATGAGAGACATTCCTTGTGCTGCATACTATCTCACCTCATTTAAGGATGTATCTGGAAATACTTTGAAATACAGTTCAGCTGGCTTCTTCTGCCCATTGATTTTTATTTTTCAGAGTACTCTGAAATCATTCCTATTTATACTTTTGAAAACAAGTCGCTGGCAGTAAGCCAAAATTGTTTAGGCCCAAATCATGACCTTCCTTGAAACTGCTATAATCTGACTCAAGTAAACAGAATTTCCCTCACACTGTTTTTGTGAGGAGGGATGGGTGGAGAACTGCCCTATTTTTGACACACCCATAGACGAGCATCTATCCCTTTCCTCAATCCTGGCTTTATGGCAAGGGCTTCCCCTGCCCCCAAATATGCACACCCTGTTAACCCCCCACTTTTACATCTGTGTTCACCCTGCTCACATCCTGCTCTACAAGGAGAAAGCCAAAGGTTCTTCTAGCTAATGACTAAGAATATGTACAAAAAAACTTGTCTGAATCTCTTTAAATGTATGGAATCCATTTGGTGGGCTCTATTTGTGCCAGGATATCGCTGGAGCTGACCTGCAGCTGCAAGTGAGAAATCTGGTCCAATTTCCATTTATTTCAAGGTCACTTACAGCCCTGCAGCAGTAGGAATGTAGCAGGATATTAACTGTGAATTGGGACAAATGTACTTCTGGAGCTCTGTAACCTGCTAAATGCATTGCAAACGCCTAGAATTAGGTGGCTGACTTAAATAAGAGAATTCTGATTTAAAGGTGGAAAATAGTATTATTTAGCTGCAGCTTAAGGTATAGCAAAATACGTAATAAATGTAAAATGTGGTTTCAGCATGGGCTTTGATTAGTCAGAATTATATCAATGCAGATACTGTGAACAGGACAGAATCTGATGTGTGCCTCAGGTTTACTGAGCATAACATCTTGCCTTTGACAAGAACCATCTCAAAAAGTTCTCGGTGTGCTGCAGAGTAGAAACAGATCAGAGGAAGTCTTTGTAGAGCTTTCAGCACACAGCAGTGTCAGTAAGCTTTCATTTTCCCTGCTGAAATCTAATAAACAGTAACCACTGTTCAAAAACAGCGACAGAAACGGGAGAGCAACAGACCAAACTCGTCTTCATTGGTTTAAAATCTGGGTCAAGGCCTGTGCTGAGAGCAGTATTTTGTGTGAGAAAGCCGCAGCAATGCCCATCCCGCGTTGTCGGCGCTGCCGGCGGCCAGGCCGGGCCGGGCACCCGGAGCCCCGTGGGGCGGGCCCGCGCTCCGAGCCGCCCGCCTCGGGCTCCGCCACTCGCTGCAGGCACAGAACGGCTTCTGCCAGCCGGACCGGGACAGCCCGACACGGCCCGGCAGCCCCGAGCGGAACGCCGCACTCACCTGGCGGGCTGCCCGGGGCAGGGCCGGGCGGGAGCGGCGGCCGGGCCGCCTGTGCCCCGGCGTGAGGCGGCTCCTCGCTCTGCGCGCTCCGGCTGCTCCCAGCGCCGCCGCGCACCCGGGCCGCGCTCTCCGGCCGGCCGCTGTCCGGCTGCCTCTCGCCTTCCTCCCAGCGGCCTCTCCCTCCGGCAGCCCCGCTGTTTGTTTATCGCGGAGCCCCTCCGGAGCCCCGCGCGGCGGGGACGGGGCAGCGGCGGCGGCGGGCGGGCGGTGCCGGCGCTGCTGCCCCCTCCGCCTGGGAGGAGCGAGCGGCGGCGGCCGCGGAGCGGCGGCGGGGGGAGGGCAGGATTTAAACGAAGGGCGGTGACACCGCACAAAAGATTTCGATAGGCTCAAGTGAGGTTACAGCAAAGGCAGCGGGGCGGGGGAGCTCCCCCGGAGCCGTGCAGCGTCTGGCTGGCAGCGCCGTCGCAGCCGCCGCTTCCCAGTAGTTTGTCTGAAAGCCTGAGAAAGGGAATTTAAACGAAGATTTCCTACCCCTCTTTTTTTTTTTTTTTTTTCTTTTTTTTTTTTTTCTCCCTGGGAGTTGGCCGCTCAGCCAGGGAAGATGGCAGGAGGAGCGCAAGGCCGGGCGGGTCGCAGCATCCGCGGCTGCAGCCCGCGGCCACCACCCTTGTTTGCGGGAAGAGCCTAAGTTGGTGCGGCGGCGCCACCGCGGGAGCCGGCGAGGAGGGCCCGGGGCGCAGGGCATGGACGGCGGCGGCGGGGAGCGAGCGCGCAGCGGCCGCGTGAATGATCGCGGCAGGAAGGAGTGAGGCAGCGGCAAAGGAAGGGGAACGGATCCGCCCGCCCGCCCCAGCACCCGGATCCGGTGGAGCATTTTTTTTTTTACCCCCTCCTCTCTTTTTTTTTTATTTTTTTTCTTTCTTTTCTTCCCCCGCCGGGGCCGCGGCGGGCGCCGGGGGCGGCACATGGTGCGCAGCCGCCGCCCCTCCGGCCCCTGCGAGCTGCGCCCCGACCGGAGGCGCCGGGGGCGCGGTAGCAACTTGGAGGGCTGCGCCCCTGCCCCGACTCCGCGCGGCGAGGGAGCGTCCCTGAGGTATTGCGTCTGGTAAAGGGAACTTCGCGCAGGATCCCGCGGCCGGCGAGCCGGACGAGACGGTGGAAGGAAGGCGAGGCAGCGTGCGAGAAGGAAAGGAGAAAAAAAATTACGTATTTTTAGCTGAAGGATGCCAGACCGGGGCCCGGGGGCGCCCGGCGAGCGCCGCCCCGCCGCGGGAGCGCCGTAGGAGCGGGGGCTGGCGCCGGAGCGGGGCGGGCGCCCCGGCCGAGCTCGCTCCCCGAGCGGCGGCAGCCCCGGCGCCCAGAGCCTTTTCTTGCCTCCCGGCGATTAATGGAATGATGTTGCGGAAAAGGCAGAGCGATCCTGCCGGGCTCAGTCGGGACTGCTCGGGCGGCGGCGGCGGAGGCGGCGGCAGCGGGGTAGCGAGCGGCATGCGAGTGCCCCCCCGGCGCTATGGCTAGCGGTGGCTCCGGCAAGTCCAGCAGCGAGCTCTCCGGCGGCGGCATCCCCAGCAGCAGCTCCCTGCAGAGGAAGAAGCTCATCTCTATCTGCGACCACTGCAAGATCAAGATGCAACTGGTGGCCGATCTGCTTCTGCTGTCGAGCGAGACCAGGCCGGTGAACACCGAGAGTCTGTCTGTCTTCGGTGAGTCCTTTGAGAAGTGCAGGGACACGATCATTGCCAGGACCAAAGGACTCTCCATCTTGACCCATGACGTCCAGAGCCAGCTCAACATGGGACGCTTCGGGGAGGTGGGAGAAAGCCTGATGGAGATGGGGGAGCTGGTGGTCTCCCTGACCGAGTGCTCTGCCCACGCTGCCTACCTGGCTGCAGTGGAGACTCCAGGGGCCCAGCCTGCCATGCCTGGCTTGGTGGATCGCTACAAGGTGACCCGATGTAGGCATGAGGTGGAGCACGGCTGCGGGGTCTTGAAGACCACCCCTTTGGCAGATATGAGCCCTCAGCTCCTGCTGGAGGTTTCTCAGAACATGTCCAAGAACTTGAAATTCCTGACAGACGCCTGCGTGCTGGCCAGTGAGAAATCCAAGGATAAATTTGCTAAGGAGCAGTTCAAACTCAGTGTCAAATGTATGAGCACCAGCGCCTCTGCCCTCTTGGCCTGTGTCAAGGAGGTCAAGACCTCGCCCAGCGAGCTGACCAGGAACCGGTGCGTCTTGTTCAGTGGACCTTTGGTGCAGTCTGTCTATGCTCTGGTGGGCTTTGCCACTGAGCCCCAGTTTTTGGGTAAAGCTGCCACCATTAATCCAGAGGGCAAAGCTGTGCAAACTGCCATCCTAGGAGGAGCCATGAGTGTGGTATCTGCTTGTGTGCTCCTGACCCAATGCCTCAGGGATATAGCCCAACACCCCGAAAGTAGCACCAAAATGAGCGATTACAGGGAACGGTTGAGGAACTCAGCTTGCGCCGTCTCGGATGGTTGCAACCTGCTATCTCAGGCACTAAGAGAAAGATCTTCACCCAGGACTTTACCGCCAGTGAACTCCAATTCTGTGAATTAACCCCCACATCTTCTGTTTAGATCCCAGTCATTGCTAAAGGAAAATAATATCCCACCTCCTCACCCCTTTTTTGTATACCAAAGAATTTGCTTGGATGAGCCCAATCCTTTGATTTCGTGTGGTGAAGAAGCAGAACGTATTCAAACTATATGTACTAATAAAGGTAGCCAGTTTTGGCTTCTTTTTATTTTACTTTAAAGTTAAGCAAGTATCTCCAGATAAATTTTCCTTTATTCAACAAGGTCTTCACACAAGTGGTAAAACTGTTTCAAAGTTTTTTATATTTGGGGAGGTGGGGGTATCTTAGAAAAAGGAGAAAAAAAAGAGCTTTAATCGCGCTGGGTGCGGTTTTTAAAGTTTGTCTTGTCTTGTCTTCCGAAATTTCCCTTCTAAATTTTGCTGTTCGGTTGTGCAGGAAAAAGGTTACCTCAGTTCTAACTCATTTAAAGAAATGAAAAAAACCCAACAACACATAGATGATGGATGTAGCTACTATTTTGTTTGTTTCTGTTTTGTATGACTTTTTTTATTTTGCATCAAGTGTTAGGTTAGAAGTGCATTTGGTGTGTAGGAGTGGAAGGACTGGAGGTTGTGATTATGTTTTCCATGTGTTGATTTCCAAACTGGGGGAAAAGCTACTGTGAGTGTTTAAACAAACAAACAAAATTACACTATAACAAAAGTGATTTTTAATTTTTTTCCAATGTCAGTTTTTATCTTGCATGTACTGGAGTATTTATTTCATCTATTAAAATGTTATGTTTCTCAGATGCTTTTCTGTGAATCTTTTAATACTTGAATAATTGAACAACTAGGCCTGTTTGTATTGTATGTCATTTCCCCCAGGGAATGGGTGGTACAAACCTAACTGTAAGTTCTAGACAGCAGCATACAGGCTTCAATTCAGTTCTTTTATTTTCATAAATGCTGTCCCTCTCCCAGTACTACCCCTACACACAGAGCTACTCCAGTTGTGTCTGTGGGCAGCTGGGCAGTGCTGCATGCACTGGGATAGCTGTGCACTGGGGCTGCTCTGCAGAGCACTGGTGATTGCTGCAGCAGGCACAGCCTGGCTTTGTTTGTCTTTATCAGCAGGCGGTGTTACCTTTTGAGAAGGTTTTGTATTTTAATTCTTGCAGGTGTTGTGGGCCATCTGTGTGTTAAATCTATGAGTTTCAGTGTGATTTCTTATAAAACTTTGCTGGTCAGCCTGGCGTGTGCCATATATCTTCTTGGGATTTTGGAGGTTGGTTGGAGTGGTGCTTTAATTCCTCAGAGGTTTGTGTTGGAGCTCCTCAGTAGAGATTTCTGTCACAGCAGTTTGAGTTTGATGTTGCAGATTACAGGAGACCATGGCTAACTTTTGAGGTGCAGCCGACCTCCAGTTGAATTCTTGGGAGGTGTGAGTGCCTACTGCAGTAGTTCCCAAAGCTGCAATGATGAATGTTGTCAGCCTGGTCTTTGTGGCCCTGTGAGATCTGTTGCCTTCTATATATTCTGTTAAATAGAAGAGCAAGTCTCCTGGAAAGGAGGTTTTGTTTCTCTGTCCTGCTCCATTGCATAATTGTGGGGTTTTTTATAGGTCTGCAGATTGAATCTTGTTGAAGGCTATTGGCACCTTAAAAGTGTTACTGTGGCTTAAACCTCAACAAATACTGTCCTATTTATTCCTCTGAAGAAGGAAACCTTTGGGCTTTGGGTATGGAATGGACCTGGAGTAGTGAAAGGTCTTTGTTTTATAGCATTATTGTTTCTCTTGCATATAATGCTTTTACTTAAGTGGAGTGAACCATCTGTTGGAGGAGATAAAAGCTGCATCCGTATCTTCAGGGTTAGAGAGCAATAATTCCTTAAGTACAGTGGACCTCTGTGTTAGATTTGCTTATATTTAAACAGAACTTTTCTGACTTCAGTGAATTGTATGAACAATTCTTTGCCATACTCAGCCCGGGCTGCACTCCTGCAGGGTGTGATGTTCTCACCATGCAGTGTGTGCTGCAGAGGCACGGCTGCCCACAGCTACGTGGTGAAGTGTAGAAGTCCTCTCACTGTTCTTTAATAAATAAATCTGTGCACACAGTGTTCTGGCTTTGACTGGGATGCCTCCACAGGTATTTGCTGAGAGGCTCTCAGGTGTGCACTCACCAGGTTCTCCCAGGGTATGGCAGGACAGCTGTAGGAGTCGGGAGGGCCTCGCAGGAGGCCAAGGCCATCTCCAGGGATGTGCTGTCCCTCCGCTCTGCTGTCCTTCGTATCTCCCTCCCTCGCGTGTCTCCGTGGGAGCCGAGGCGCCTCCCAAGCGACTGTTCCTCCTTTTCTTTTCCGCCGAGGCTGTGGGGAAGGAGGAAAAGGGGCAGCGCTCAGGATGTGCTATCTCCTGCGGCAGGCAGGAGGTGAGGAACGCGCCCCACCCTTCCTGAGCGCGGATCCCGCTGGGGCAGGATCGGTGCGGGACGTGCGCGGATGGTGCTGGGCTGGGGTTGTGTTCCAGGGTGCCAGGACGAGGGAAGAGATGGGAATCTGGACTCCCTGTTTCAGAAGGCTGATTTATTATATATTATATTAAAATTTAATATAATTTAAACTATACTAAAAGAACAGAGAGAAGGATCCATCAGAAGGCTGGAAAGGACAGAAGAGGAATGATGATAAAAGCCCGTGACTCTCAGATAACCTAAAGCAGCTGCATCTTGGATTGGTTATTAAGTAGAAACAACTCACCTGAACCAGTCCAAGATGCACCTGTTGGTAAACACTGTCCAGACCACGTTTCACAGCCATCAGATAGTTGTTTATGTTTCTTTTCTGAGGCTTCTCAGCTAGAATAGGAGAAAAATCCTAGCAAAGGATTTTTCATAAAATATCATAACTACATTGGGAGGTGGCAGGGGACAGGTACAGTGAGCATCCTTGGCCCCAGGGCTTTGCAGGTGCTGTGACTCCTCCTGCCACACACAAACCAGACAATTCTGAAGGGCAGCTCTGCAGCACGTCTGACGCCCCAGGGCTTTGCAGGTGCTGTGACTCCTCCTGCCACACACAAACCAGACAGTTCTGAAGGGCAGCTCTGCAGCATGTCTGACAAAAAAAAAAAAAAAGTAATGTCCCGCTGGCTCTTTTGATGTTTCTACGTGTTAGTTTTTGGTGCTGCTGAACTAATTAGATGCTTTTTGATTCATTTATATATTATTGAGATTATATGGATCACAGTAGAGCCTCCTTATTACCTCTGCATATGAAAGGCACTGTATTATTAACAATGATAATGCTGATTTTTGTTGTGGTAAGATCTTGTTTGAAGTGGTTTAGTGCAATTTTTGCTTTAACAAGGTTACTGTAGATTCTTCCCTTTCTTACTATATTTTTAAGTGAGGTACATGCATACATATATAACTAAGTATGTATCTTGTTCTTTTTTAATACTGAAAAAAACCAGAGTGCCTTAGGTCTCCCTTTGCATTTGAGCTGTGTGAGTTCAGGAAGAATTCAGTTTTATAAATAAACTGGGAAATGTAGCCAAGCCATGATTTTTTAACAGGCTGATAAAAAAATACATATACACAAATAGTAAATTCACCAAAGTAACTTCCTGTAACATTTGAAAACAATAGTATTTTAACAGTTCAAAATGTTCAATCATTTCTTTTGAGAGTACAGCTCGCACAAAGGGAGGCACACACTGCACCCTGGCCTCAGCTCAACACTATCTGTCAAAATCTGTGCTACTCATGTAATTAGCACAGCAAAGTTAAAAAAAAAAAAAGTTTTTATGCCAACAAGCACAACTTGCACATTGTGGCATTTTTCTGAACTGAAAAAATGGGGTCCCACTACTAAGTGTGAATATATGTTATCTATTTTAAATGCTGTAATGCCACATTTATAAAAACTTAATGTATATTGTGATAATTTATTTGGAATTTGTTCCTATAGAATATTAATTCTGACACAAGGTATTAGTTCATTAGGTAGATTCACGTTGTTTGCTTACTTTGTACTCTCTGGGCCAGAAAAAATGCAAAATGGATGAGTTTTCAGGGTGCACTTGCAAGGCCCATGGAGGTCAGTGATTATCACTTGGCACCATACTTAGGCCCCTGTTCCCAAATCTTCCACACCATTTAAGTTAGCAGGTACTGTGACTAATTAATCATGGGTTTACACAAGCGTGAGATGTTTTCTGATGTGCAGCCTTGAAGGAAAAAAAAAGTTTTAGGGTGCTTATATCACATATGTCATAGACTACTCTAATAGTGCATTTAATAAAATGGTTAACTTATTTCTAAAGACATTATGCAATGCACATTTGTAGCCAAAAACAACGCTATCCCCACCACAAGAGAAGTAAGCTTGTTTTTAAAATGTAATAATTTTTTAACAGGGAAGAAGCTGCCACCTTTGTATTGTCTGTAAATTTGATACTATCTTGTGGCTGCTGCTTCAGCATAGGGAAGGTCATTATTGATGTAATAATACAGCAGCTGAGTTTGAGATCAGAGCAATGTGTTTTCTGATTCTAAAAAAAGTAAGTTCTGTAAGGCAACCAGTAAACCAGCAGCAAAATGCTATTGGAAAGCAAGTTCACTGTTTAAGGGAACTTGCAAATGTAAAGCCATGTTATTTTTCAAAACTAAGAAAAAAAGAAAAAAAAAAAGACCCTGGGTCAGATAATTCCCTTCACTTTTTACCACAGGAAATGATCAAAGTAGCAGAAAATCTGCTCTTTTTGGCCAAACTTCTGTCAGAGACAGAAGGGGTCCAGCCAACACATGGTGTATGCAGCCTTGCAGCAACAAGGGATGTGGCTGATGGGAAAGGAGGTGGGACCAGAGGAAATCTGTAGGGCAATACCTCTTATTAAACCCACAGGAATTTTCCTATTCTAGATAAAACAGCGGCTGATCCAATAAAGCAAATCTCAGCCAGCACAGCCTTTCTCCTGGGGCTGTCGGGAGGCTGGGAGGGTTTGGGATGCTCTGTGTCCAGCAGCTGTGCTGCTGTAGGAACCGGAGGTCTCCGCAGAGATGGAAGAAGCACAGGCACAACGTGTACCTGCCAGAAGAGTTTGGTGGGAAACGGAGGGGCTGGGTTTTATCTTTCTTTGCTTTCTTCCCTATCGGGCTCTCTCCAGACTTCACAAGCAGAAGCAGATGGTAGGGGCCAGTACATTTTACTTCTTTGTTCTTGCTGCCTGTGAAAGGTGCCAGATGGGCAACGATAAAGATAGAAATTCTCTTCCTGTAGCCCAGGGATAGCGGAAAACGCAGAGCTTCAAGGCTGCCCTATCCTCACAGGATCACCATAACATGTTTTTTTGGGCCCACTGTTTCACTCTTTGATTCTTTGCCAAGAAACTGACAGAAAATCCCAATGGCAACTTGACAGGGGCATTGAGGACCAGTTAAATATTTCCCATATGACACCAAACCACCATCAGGTTTGGATCACTCCCAAATGATCCAAAAAGTGGATGGGCTAGGTATGAAGTGCAAGGCCAGATCCTACATATGAATAACTCAGAAAATTAAATACTGTATACTCTGAGGTGTTTACTTACTTGGGAATTAGAATTACCATATTTTCTATATGTAAAACTAGTTCAAAAGTGTATTTAATTTACATAATTAGCAACAGTACTCAGAACCATCTTCTTAATGAAGACAGACATCTATAGACATGAAGGGCCTTTTCCATGACTTTAATTAAATACTGATGTTTTCCAAAGTATGTTCAAATATTAAGGGTTGTTTTTTGTGTGGCAAAGTAAGGA